GACGGTGGGGGGGATAGAGCCTTCGCTGGTGACGTACGAGGGTTTAGGGTCTAGCTCTTCGGCGTTGTCTCCGGCGTTTCCGGGGTTTTCGATAAACCCTAGCGAGCCCCCCCCCCAAACCCTAAACCCTCACACTTCTCTAAACCCTAATTTGCATATTGCCTGGACCTCCTTAACCTCCCGAGCTGCTTATAGAGTTCAAATTGCGAAAATGGAGGCCGACGGCGAAACCCTAGGGCTTGGCGAACACGCCTTCGGCAAAACCCTCGTCGACTCAGGTACGCGGGTTTAGGGTTTAGGGTTTAGGGTTTAGGGTTTAGGGTTTGCCCAGGGGAGATTTATCCGTGCTTCATGAACTCTGTGTTTCATGCCTGGTGGCGGTTGCTGTCTCGCTAGTGTGTGGCTTCGCTGAGAGATAGGGGTTTTAGATTTCAGGGTTTAGGGTTTAGGGTTTAGGGTTTAGGGTTTAGGGTTTGCAGGCACCACCTACTCGTACTTCCCCCCCGCAGTGTTTGCGGCCTGGCGCAAACTCCTGGCCCGCTACTGCGTGGCTTCTTTGAGGGTGTAGTAGGGTGGGGCAGGGCCAGGGTTTAGGGTTTAGGGTTTAGGGTTTAGGGTTTAGGGTTTGGCGTGTGGAGAGGTTTCTGTGGGTCCTTGTAGTGAGGAAGGTTGTTGCGTGTGTTGCTGGGTTCTGGGCGCGTGCGGCTCGGCGCTGTGGTGCGCGGGGCGAGCTAGGGCTTGGGGATTAGGGTTTAGGGTTTAGGGTTTAGGGTTTGCAGGCACCACCTACTCGTACTTCCCCCCCGCAGTGTTTGCGGCCTGGCGCAAACTCCTGGCCCGCTACTGCGTGGCTTCTTTGAGGGTGTAGTAGGGTGGGGCAGGGCCAGGGTTTAGGGTTTAGGGTTTAGGGTTTAGGGTTTAGGGTTTGGCGTGTGGAGAGGTTTCTGTGGGTCCTTGTAGTGAGGAAGGTTGTTGCGTGTGTTGCTGGGTTCTGGGCGCGTGCGGCTCGGCGCTGTGGTGCGCGGGGCGAGCTAGGGCTTGGGGATTAGGGTTTAGGGTTTAGGGTTTAGGGTTTGCAGGCACCACCTACTCGTACTTCCCCCCCGCAGTGTTTGCGGCCTGGCGCAAACTCCTGGCCCGCTACTGCGTGGCTTCTTTGTTTTGCCAAAAAGAAAAAGACGGAAGGCCCTGCTGGCGCTTTTCTTCGAAGGACTTTTTCGCGCAACTCCCCAACATAACTTTGACTTTTAAAGGGGGAGGAAGGGTGGTTTGGACCCCGCAGAGCTACCTTTACAGGAGAACGGGGGGGTTCGTAAACCCTAAACCCTAAACCCTAAACCCTAAACACTACGTGGACGGCACTGGGGAGTGGGGGGTGAGAGGGGTGGCAGCTTCAAGGGAAGAGGAAAGGTCGTTTGGGAAACCCTCGGATCTATCTAAACCCTAAACCCCAAACCCTAAACCCTAAACCCTAAGAGTTAAGTGGAAGGCACTGGGCAGGGAGTGCCCCATTTGTCGCAGGACTGGAGGGCACAGAAACCCTAAACCCTAAACCCTAAACCCCAAACCCTAAACACTAGGTACTGGGGTGCATTCCACTGAAGCGCCTCTGCCCTATAGCAGAGGGGTCAGCAAACCCTAAACCCTAAACCCTACCGCTGCGATAGTTCAGGGTATAATCTAAACCCTAAACCCTAAACCCTAACAGTTTTCTGGATGGCGCAGAGCTACCTTCTCAGAAGAGCCTGAGGCCCTGAACCCTAAACCCTAAACCCTAAGCTTTCCGGGTGTGCAGGAGAAGCTGTGGCTGCTTCAAACCATAAACCCTAAGTTGTTAGTTGTTAGGCAGATGAGGGGTGAAGCAAACCCTAAACCCTAAACCCTAGACGATGCAGAGAAAACCCTAAACCCTAAACCCCAATTATTGCAGCGAGCCGCGGCGGCCCAACAAAGCTAAGGGTTTATCTTCAACTGCTTCAACTCCCGGATTCAGGGTTTAGGGCGGGGTCCAGGGTTAGGGTTTAGGGTTTAGGGTTTAGGGTTTAGAGTTTCCGGCTCCGGGTTGAGGGTCTCGGATTTCGGGTTTAGAGTTCAGGGTTTTGGGGCCAGGGTTCCGGGTTCCGGGTTAGCGTTCGGGTTCAGGCCAGGGTTTAGGGTTTAGGGTTTAGGGTTTAGGGTTTGCGCAGGTTTTGGTGCGACGGACTCGACGACAACCACATTCAAGAAAGTGTTTTGGGACTTTCTTTTTTCAAACATAAACAAATTATTTTCGACAGAGACAGAGACAGAATTGGCGCCATTAATGCATCTTGTCCCAGCTTTTTCCTCGAAGAAAGAAAGGGTTCTTCCCCCCGTAAACCCTAAACCCTA